ACAGAGGGACAATGTTTGAAAAATAATGAATAGAGCCTAAGAATAATGTGGGAATGATGTCAGATGGTCTGACATTCATGTCATTGGAGAAGAGAAAAAGATGGGTACAAAAAAATTGGAAAAGCTAATAGCTAAAGATTTCCCAAATTTGGTGAAAAACAAAAATTTCTGGACTCAAGTAGTAGACTCTGTAAATACCAAACAGAATGAACTCAAAGAAAACTGAACTGAATATCCCACTCCTTCCTCTCATCTTACCCAGCAATGGCCTCCTCCTCACCTGCCTGGACCCTGAAGACATCTGTTTCTGACCCTTGGGTGAGGGAGGAGCACATGAACATGAGTCAGACACCTGGAGATTAATCCTGGCTCACTGAGCCAAGTGTGAGACCCAGGGAAAACTATTCCCCTGCCTAGGCCTCAGTTCTTCATCTGGAGAATCTCAGGGTTGATCTGCATGGTCTTCTAACTTGCCTTCCAGCTCTAAGATATCACCCATTATCCATTCCTAAGTATAGTTTTTCTATTTAAAAATTACAACATTTATTAAAGCCTAATGCTATGAAACAAGAGACCATTTTCCTGCCAAGAGTCTCGTCACCTTTTGTAATGGTGCAAGTGACTGAAATGGGGAAGCTCACAGAACAGAACCAAAAATGGAGTCTCATAGCAACCAGAATGGAGGTCAGCTTTCCCCAGCAGTTTCCTACAGAGCTCTTCAAGCGCTAAGGGAAACCTGGGATTCATTGCAAAAGAAAGGAAGCTCTGCAGAAAACTTTCACTCCCAATAAATGTATTTCCAGTTTCATCATATTTTTCAGATGCTAAAGAATGGAATGGAATGCCCCCATTGCCTGACATTCCTAGTGTTATGTCAAGTCTGTTGGAAGGCATGAATTCCCCTATGTCTGTAAACACAATAACTACCATTTGTATAGCATCTTACAGTTAACAGAGCAGTTCTTGTTTCATCCTCCCAACCACCATCCTCTGAGGGAGGTGGGAGCAATCACCTCCTGTTTGCTCAGAGAAAAGTCTGAGAGAGGTTGAGATTTTACCCCAGACCATCCAGCACTGAACTGGAGAAAGCACCAACTGTTCTGGCATCCAATTCCGTCCTCTTTTCCCACCACCAAGAACCAGAGGCCCTGGGCAATGCCAAAGCCAAGCTGTGAGCTACAGCTACTGGGCACAGGGCCAGTTTACCCCACTTTAGGAGGGCAGGCTGTAGTAGATTAGATCCTCTCAGCTCATTCCTCCCAAGAGGAACACAGTGTTGTGAGTTGGCTCCGAGACGCTCTGTCCCTTTCCCATTCCCTCATCTGCCCCTAGCCAGGCTGCTTGGCTGGGGAGGCTCTCTGGTCTCAGACACAGAAAGTTCTCTATCCCCACACCCTCCATTTGATGACTCTTTTGAAAATGTCTTCCCTCCCCTCCCTCCAGCTACCTGTGAACGTGCTCGCCCTCAAGTCAAGTAGGCTTGGGGATTGGTGGTGGTTTCTTCAGGTTTTACCACTGAGAGACCTTGAAGCGCTTTGCTGCATGGCCCCCATGTCTGCTTCCACTCTGCTCTCCTCTCCATCAGGGAATTACTGTCCCCTCCCATGCCTGAACATTCATTCAGCCTCCACACTGCATTGATGTGCCCACAGGTCATCTTTTCCTCCCTGCAAGAGCCATTTTCAGCTCATTTATTCACACACTGTCCCTTCATTTTCAAGAAAAATACAAAGTAGTCTCTTTGAGTGTGATAATTCTGAGTCATTGCATACTGTCATCATTTCAGAACAAAAAGAAGTCAAAAGGTGGGTGGGTTCATTTCATCTGGCAAAGGAATAGGCATTCTCTTCTTTGTTTTACCCTTAATGACTCATTCAACCTGAATCAAAGCTGAGTAGTCTTGGCCTTGGAACAGGAATCTGGAGGGTAAAGGGAACAGAGTGTAGGCATCACATAAGCTGGGGCCGTGGGCCCAAACCCCAGGAACCATGTCCATGTGGCATGAAGTGGGCAGAAAAGACTGTGAAAATAGAGGGGTAGGATGGTGCCATGTAAAGCCCTCGCTCATCTCTGGACCTAGTTCTTTCCTCTATAAAAACTGCTAAAGGCTTACACAAGAGTAACTTTGGAAAGGACAGGGACACGTGATTGCACTGTGACTATTTCCCTGAATCACTGCGCTTTCCTGCCTGGGCATTGGAGCCTTGATTTGGGAAAGGAGGTTTGACCCTCACCTGGCATAGGCACCTAGAAAGGTGGAGAGAGGAGGCTTTGCTGTCAGACTGACTTAGGTCTGGGTCCCACCTCTGCCACTTCCTGACTCTGTGACCTTGGGACAAGTACTTAATCTCTCTGAGTCTCAGTGTTCTCATTTGTAAAAAGGGAATGGTAATTCCCTATTTTTGAGGTAGTATCCTCTTTGTGAAGATAAAATGTAACATCTGCAAAGTGCCTAGCACGATGCCTGCTGAAATCATTATTATCTCCCTGACTCACATAGAGGATGTGTAGAACAGTGGACAGTTTGGCTTGGTGGTCTTGGATAGTCATTTAATCTTCCTCAGTTTCTTCATTGGTAAAATGGAATAACATGCTTTGCGAGAGGGTTGTGAACATTAGAAATGATGGTGTAAAGAACCCAGCATAGCTCCAGTGCACTGTGGATCCTTAACTGGTGCTACTGATCATTTAGGGGTTATAATTATTTACCTTAGAGGTTGCTGTCAGAGCCCAATTCCCCTAAAAAGGGGTCCCTGGGAAGATTGCAGCAGCCCTTAAATCAAAGCCAGTGTCAGAGACTGGAGACCAACGTAGGAACACCAGTGGGTCTTGAGCCAAAGAAGGTGGGACCAGGGTGCCATCAGCTGGGACCAGTACCCAGAAGTGGGGGCTGAGTGCTCAGACAGCACATGGCTCCTGGAAGGAGACTTGCCCCCCCACCCCAGGGCCGGAGAGGCTACTCCACACACCCAATTTTTGCAGCTGTGTCTACCACAGTTTGGGGCTCAAGAAGTCTTACTAATGGGTCCACAGGCCTCACTCACAATGCAGGTGGCCAGGCAGGGTTCTGCAGGGGCCTAGAACTAGTGAAGCAACACCCTGGGACAACAGCTCTCATCATAGGGACCTGAGTCACTGCAAAAGACCTACAAGCATAAGCAATCCTTTGGGGGAAGGAGGACCTTTTGTCTTTTTCCTGGTGGAAGCTGGGATCTCAGGTTTTGGTCATGCTGAGATGTCTAGTGGTCCATAGACCCCTTGAGGTTCCAACACAAGTGGCCTTGGGATACATGAAGAACTCTGTACCACTCTGAAAGAGCAATGAGATTTATCTCCCCAGTCCCTCCCTTCATTAAACGTTTTAATTGCATCCACTGGAGAACCAGCTGTTTTTGGCTCTCCCGGGAAAACCACAACCAAAGCACCTGCTAAAACCACTCCATGCTCTGCCTCAGTACTCCTACCTGCTTTATTGTTCAGCCTGGAATGTCCTCTCCATTCACCAAAGTCTTACCCATACACGAGGCCCAGCACCAGTCCCAACACTTCCAGGAAGCCCTCTGACACCTTTCTAGCCCATGACAGTTATCCCTTCCTTAAAACCTGTGGTCATGCCAGCATTTTCTTTCTAGATAGCTCTGATTCCATGGCTTTGTTTGTTAGCATCTCTCTTTTGTTATTTTACCTTTTTTTGATTATGAATGTTAGTTTCCTCTGTCTTTCTAGTTTCTTACTTCCAACTAGTCACCAAAGACTGTTGGTTGTGCCACTCAGAAATATCTGAAATCCATCAACTTCTCTCTACTTCTTGGCCATTTCTAGTTCAGGCCACCATCACAGCAACAGCCTCCTACATGGCTCCCTGCATCTGAACCTGCCCCTCCAATCCATTCTCCACTCTGAGGCTAGAGGACTCTTTCTACAATACAGATCTGCCTCAAGCACTTTATCCTACTGGCCTTGAGATAAAATATAAACTCTCCAACAGGCCTTTCAAACTCCTTCATTTACTGGTCCCTGCCCACTTTTGCAGTCACATTTCTCAACATTCCCCACCACTGACACTGAGGCCTGTCTCACCCTGGTCATGATGAAGCCCTCTCAGCTCCTCACACACTCCTTTGGATATTCTATCTGGGACAGTCTTCCTTCCCACCCTCCATGCCCATGCACAGCACTCCCTTGGCCTGCACACCCCCAGTCTTCAGGTCTCCACTTCAGTGTTATCTCAGCCACTAAGCCTCAACCCTTCCCCCAACATCCCAGTCCAGGTGACATACCTGGAGTACCTTGTCCCCCCCACATCATGGCACTTTTATCCCATTTTGTAATTGCCTGTTTTACTGGTCTCTGTCCTCCACTAGATGATAAGCAATTTCAGAGCAGGAGCCACGTCTGCACAGTTTACTATTCTATCACCAGTGCTGGGCCCAGTGTCTACCTTTAGCAGACTCTCAAGAAATAATTTTATAATGAATGAATGAAAAGAAGAATGAATTTGTACATCCGAATCTTCAAGGACAGCAACCATTTCTTATGCTGCTCCTTTAAAATCTCGCTCAGGACTCTATGCATTCTTGATACAAAGGAAAGGAGGTCATTATTTACTGTGAGTAAAATAGTCCTGTTATTTAAATAGCATGCTCCCCTATTTCTTGATGTTTCCCTCTCTCCAGACTGAAGGCTTTTTGAACTGCACACTAGCAAGAATACGGCTGGTAACACAGTGACCTATATCTGCCTACAGGGGTGCTGGACAAGCAGGGTCCCCAGCCAAGACTGGGAGGCTCACAGAATTCAAGGCCTCTGGAACCTGAATGGGCTGTTCCTCGAGGAGGAGCAGAAAAGGCCTTGATAAGTGTCCAGAAACTCACTTCTAGTCCTGCTCCTTCATTAGTCAAATATGGGATGATGGGCAAATCACTTAGCTTCTCTGGAGTTCAGTTTCCTCATTGGTAAAATGTGGTAAGGGGGAAGGGCCAATAATGTGTCTTCACTTACAGCTATGAGTTACCATTCTATGAGAAAACATGTTACCGCATTACCACCAGAGGTGAAGAAGAATCAAGCTGTTTCCAACCTAAAGATCAGGACACCTGTACCACTTCAAACAATGTAAGTGTTTTGTAATCATAATCCCATCCATTATATGAGGCTTTAAATTTGGTAGTGAGTTTTCATAATTTTTTTCTTTTGAGAACTGTGGCAGAGGCAACCATATAGATATGTCAGTATCCCTTCCCCTCTTATTCCCTATTGATCATCAGAAATCACAAAATGCTCAGTTAAAAAGTATTCCCCAGCCTCCCTTACAGCTGGAATGACCATGTGACTAAGTTCTAGCCAATAAGATATGAGCAGAAGTCACGTGTAGCACCCAGGAAGCCTCCGTAAAGGGAGAGAAGACACTTTTGCACTCTTTCTCCTCTCCTTCCTGCTAGCTGAATGAGAATAAGATGTCTGGAGCTTGGCAGCCATCGTGGACCATGAGGTGATGTGCTAAGAATGGTAGATCAGCAAGACAGAAGGAGTGTGGGTCCCTGATACCTGGAGCCACCATCCCAGCCCTGGGCCCCTTCTGTCGGACCTCTTTGCCATGAGAAACAAATAATTTCTGTCTTGTTTAAACTACTATTACTTTCATTTTCCTGTCACAAATAAACAAACCTAATCCTAATTGATAAAATAGTCATCTACTTCATACAAGACCTTGTGCTAAATGCTGTAGGGGATTCAAAGGTATATAAGATTTAGACACACAAGACCTGGATAGGAAGGTTCTATCTGGGTCTGAAGGAAAGGCTAAGAAAGGTTTGGCTTGGCAGGGCCATGAGGGAATTATGGGAGATGAGGCCAGGGACTATGATGAAAAGGGTTTGAATACCACGTTAATGAGGTTGGATTTGATCCTGTGATGGACAAACAGAGCAGACAACCTTGCCCCAGTTTGCAAATGAAGAAGTCCATGCCTAGGTTACAGGACTTGTCCAAGGTTGCCCAGCCAGGGAGTGACAGAGCCAATCTCAATTCTCTTAACACTTGGTCCAGTGTCATCCCGCACTTCTGTTCTGCTTTTGAAAGAATCTGAGGCAGAAAGAGTAGGAATGGTGGTTTTACACTCTGATACAGTCGGGGAACTGGACTGGGCACCCTTCCAGTCGCCCCGAAACTTCTGAGAAGAAGCTTTGGGAATTACCAGAAGTCTAGGATCCAGCCCTACCTTTAAGTCGGAGGACCCTTCCTGGGCCCCCTACTTAGCAACCCCCATGAGGCTGCAGTGGCCAGGGTGCTCCTTGCTATGTAGTAGGTACCCAAGGGTCAGGCACAGTGCTGGATGCTCTATGCACATTATCTAGTTTACTGCCCTCGACAGTGTAACAAAGTTATAATACCTGTCCCTATTTTACAGATGAAGATGAAGAAACAGAGGATCAAAGAAATGAAGCCAAAGTTGCTCAGTTCATGGAAAAGTTAAGGTAAAAGGCCACGTTTGTTCATTTCCATAGACCTGTTCTAATACTCACATTCTAACATCTTCCCATTCCCTGCCAAACCAAGGAACAGTTTCCTATTGCTGCTCAGTCTCCAAGGACTTACCTCGTTTGATGGGTTGACCGGTGCCAAGGGTCTCCTGCCAGATTCAAACCCTGCTCATTCCACCTGCAGTCAGGAGCCAGCATCTCATCCAGGAGTCACATCACCCATGCTCTGCACATGACCCCATGCAGATGAGGAATCTCCTGGGGAGAGAGCGGACCCACGGATGCCCGGACCTCTGTGACCTAAGGCCTCCCAAGACTCTTAATTTTGGCTGGTCATGGGGCAGGGATATCAGAGTCCTCCCATTGTAGGTTCTAGAGGTCATAGATTCCAGTGAGTTGTTTCATGGGATCAGGGACGCTCTGTTCTTTGTGTCCTTTCTGTGGCTGTCATGGTTAGAATGCATTTGTTCTGATTTGCACTGACATTCATTCAATAAACAACTGGTCATTGGAACTGAATCTCCTATCATTGCCAGCATTTAGAAAGTTGAGTTTCATTTTGCTGGTCATCTAGTGTGTATCTTTCCAGTAATGTGGTATGTCCAGTGTTCCAAAATGAACCACATATTCCCCTAAGCTGACTATACTGGTTTTCTTCTGGAAATTTCAGAGGAAGCACCCTGAGATGTAGCCTGCAGAGCTAAAGGTGATGGGTGGACCTTGGTCCCTCTGCATTCATTACCCAAATACAAGGGGCCAGGCACTTGGCCAGGCTTTGCCCTGGGCCATCACCAGTCCACCCTGTTCTTGTCTTGCACAACCTCCCTTCCCTTTGGCCAGTCTCTGTTTCTTTCTGAGCTCAGCCTAAGATTCTCACCCCCACACCCTCTCCCCTAATCAGACTGAAGATGGAATATGTTCACCTTATTTTATTATAACTAGATATATGAGGCTTAGCCTAAGGCTATTAGTTTTTAATAGCTAATAGAATATTCATCCATTTCCTTATAAACACTGTAATCAGCATTCCTATTCTCAGATGCACCACTCAAAGTATCTAAAATCAGACATGAAAGAGTAAATTTACTCATAACCAAGTTTTCTGAAGATACAAGCAGATTCTGTCAGATGCAGAAGCACACGCAGTTCCCACAAAGACTTTCACACATTGTAGCATGTCAGAATATCTCACCAGAGCTATTTGTTACACCTTGTAGTCATTCTTACAAACAGTTTTTACACAATCCTCATAACCCACCATTGTCACCAATAAGTGATGGCAATTTAAGTGGTTGGAGCATTACCAAAGGCTCATTGCTTCATTGGCTATAGCAGTTTCATAAAAATCATGCCCTAAGTGTTTCATATACAGCAGTACATTGCATTTATACATCCTTCTAGGAAGAATAAGCAGCCGGTGGGCCCAAAAGGATTTTGAAATCCTGTACCACGCCATACACGTACTAGCTGTCCTTCTAGACAGACAACAATAGATGTTGGCCAAAATCAGGCTAGGTTCCAGGACCAGTTTACCTCTTAATAGTTGTGTGATCTTCTAGTAGGTCAGCACTCTCTGAACCTCAGGTTTTTCATCCGTAAAATGGAAATGATAATAATGCCTGCCCTACTGTGAGGTTCAAACGAGATCAGGGATAAGAAATCCTTTCTAGGCCACAAAGCAACAATCATATGTTACCCATTTTTTCACGCATGTTTACTCTTAATCTTCACAATGCTAGGAGTGAGACACCGTCTTCCCCTTTTACGGACACAGAGACTCAAGTGACTAAGCACTGGAGGGCCTTGAGTCCAAGCCTCGATCCCCCCTGTCCAGTGCCATTTCCCCACTGTGCGGTGGCCCAGCGCATAGCCCCCCCACCATCACTGCTGCGTGCCGGGAGCAAATCAGTTGTCAAGAGCACACTCTGCCCTTTCTGCCGCGGTGCCTGACTGGGCTCAGCCCAGTTCAAGATGCTGACAAACTTCAGGCCTGGTGCCTGAAAGAAAGAAGTTTTTCAAGGATATAAGGTGTGTTTGAACATGTGACAGTTGATATATACAGAATAGAGATTTTTGCTTTCATTATCCTTTTCACAGTGGTTGCTGGCGTGAACTTTTGAGAAAGTGCCAAATATCTGTAAGAACATATATCTGCCCCCATAGGGAGATTCTATAGAATTCAATTCTATTATTTAAAATAGTTTTTCTGCCAACCAGCCCCTGCCTGAAGCTTGACACAGCAACTAGACTGATAATCTACAGCTATCTTAAGACAACTTTGTCAACCACTTTGATTTTAAATCCCATTCTTTTGACTATTTTAAAGATTATATGTTCCAAGGTATCCTTCTAAAAACTTGGTTTTATGTACTTACAATTTTTTCTGCAATAGATAATACTAATGGTTAAATTTGACCCCTTTGACAGAAAAGAGATCATTGGATCCCTAAGGGTCAAGGAGAAGTTTATTGCAAAGGGCTTGGGGGAGTTTTGAAGAACTCTTCCACACTTTGATTATGGTGGTGATTGCATTTGTCAAATTTTGGGGTCAGTTTTATTGGATGTAAATTCTGCTTCAGTAAA